GGTGAATTGTTTTCTGGGAGTTGACCAGCCTGTAGACGTGCACTGTCAGAAAAAGCTTTAAAGCACAACCATTGTGTAGCACAGCAAAGTAGGAAGCAAAGTCTATATACTGTATGTAATGAGCAAATATGACTGCCAATTATAAACAGCAACATTTTTTTAAAAACACTGACAACATTATTTTCATCACGCTAAGAACGTTCACATTTTAAATAAAAATCAAATGCCTTATTAGAAACATATTTAATGATAGAATAAGTGAATAATATCTGTTGAGATAGAACATGTATCACCATAGTGTTGGCAATCTAAAGCAAACCCCATATTTGTAAGGAAACCTGTTACAGATAATCATGGATTTACCTAAAATACACATACAGATAAGGACTTCTAATTTTCCTGATATGCAGGTTTTTTTTTCTTTTCCTTTCAGTGACTTATAGAATATTGTAACCATTAGGTCTACATAACAACCAGGCAACTAGCATTACCAGGAGTATTAACAGCCTCCATTACTTCTCTCATGACAGGTTTAAATTATTTTTACAGCTGTTGGGCAGATACGGTGGTATATTTAATGGGTTGAATGGGAGCTTTTTAATGCTACAATACAATATGAGAATGACAACATGCAAATTAGTTGAGATAATCTCCTAAAAGATATACCAGACCTAAACAGCTGTCATATGACCCTTTAAAAAAAATGGTTTAAAAAAGGCTATAATTTAAGAGTATCCTACTTTATTGCACATAAAACTGCAATGCTAATTTAAATGTACTACTATGTAAAAAAAACAAAAACCTGCTATACTAAGTAACAAATACCACTACAGCAATAAATCATATAAAATACAAGCCATCAGAAATTGTCTTTTTGGTTTACTGCTAGTATGAACATGATACTGGACAACTGACTTAACTGGGGGAAAAAAAAAGTTTTTACAGCTGGCATGTGCTACACTTGTACTTTCTCTGTTTAGTCACAAACTTACCTTTCTGCCTGCCTTTTATGACTAAGCCATCATGAAGGCATCCTTGTACAATGATTACTTATATAATAACATTTATACAGAATGCAATAATGGAGCTGCTAAAATCTCTAAATACAGTTGTGAATCTGTCTTTTTGGTTTCCTGTCTCTAGCAAAACTGTTAACATGCACATCAGTTATGTAAGTCCAGACACCCTGACAGAGTCTCTAACCCTCATGCAATATTCATACATAATGGTGACTGACAACTGCTCAGTGAAGCACAACCAAGAGAAGGGAAACATCAGTGTTGGCATCATCAGATTGCCTTTGACAGATAACACATCTAGTATCTGATGGAGTTTGTGCTGCACAAACTGCAAAACACTTAATTCCTTATTATTATTTCATTGTATTTCTTCATAAAGAGGTTACGTTCAGGAGACAGACAATTCAGAACCTTTAATAATGTGTCATGAATTTTGTAGGTGTCATTTCTATATCAGTAATTAATTATACCTTTAAGTAATTAATTATATATAAGTAATTAATTATAGAAAAAACATTCCTAAACTAGATGGCTGTAAAACCCATAAGATTTTTGTTGGGTTGGGGTAAAACGTATCACATATCTAATCATCTCTATAGTGTTTATAACTATCCTTTTTTGGCTATAGTTCTCTTTTGGGTGACAGGAGTACATTTACCAATATATTCCTGTGACCCAAAGTCAGAATATAGAGGGCTATTGCCTTATATATGCTGAAAGCGCAGTGCCGTGCCACAGCCAGAAAAGATCCCAACAATATTGTCGGGATCCACCCTGCTGCCTTATTGACAGCTGGCTCTGCCCCTCTAGAGCCAGAGCCAGCTGTGCTTGCCCCCTAACTGAGCACTGGAGGAACAGAGAGAGGGTAATGCCTTTGGGGAGTGGTGACTGACAGTCACTGCTCTCTGCAGGGAGAAGTGATGAGCCGAGTGATCAGTGGTTTGTGATTACTCAGTTCTCAAGCTATAGAGCTGGCAAGTGACAGCTGCAGTTTCACACCGAATTAAACTATTGTGAAGAGTGTATTTTACTCTCCCAGTAGTTCTATTTTAATACAGAAGAAAATATTCTGAAGCGTCCATGTCATTAAAGCAGAATAATTCTTGACCATTGTAATGCATTTGATCGTTACAGTTATCTTTTTGATTACATGGTTTAATATAATGAAGAATACTTGATTCAGAAGCAGATATTTTATGTGTCCTACCATTGCTTTTTTGAGATGATCAAAAACCTTCCCAAGATGCTCCAGAAGTATAATTGAAGACATGTTTAACTTTACTTGCTCTTTTATAGATGGGAATGATGTTTCAGTGTCATTGGTCATCTGAGTGCGAGGAGTATCCATATCACTTCGGTTTGTACTGGGCTCGGAATAGTCAGCTGAGTCTAAATAATAAGGGCAATAACGGATGATTAAGTTCTAGAACAAATGCATACATTATAAATATAATTCAAGTGAACACTGAATACAGCATATGCTTGAGGTTAACACTTTTACAGAAAATTACTACTGTAATAGTGAAGAACAGACGGATTGTGCTCAACAGATGAGATGCTCTTAGTTATATACAGTACAATAAAGGCTATGCAATATGACTAAGCATGCAATTTCTTACATCACTATTCACTCTCACCTACTGCTTTTGACAACTTTTATACAGTCATCACAATAGAGTACATTTTAACTCAAACCCATGTTTAACTAAACTTCTAAACCTAAAAGCAGCAGAAAGTAGCTGACAGCTTAGAATGTACTATTGCTGCAAAAAGTCTCACTTCACTGCCACCAAACCCCCCCCAGCAGTCTCTTTGAAGTGTCTCAAAGAGAGTCTCTTGAAGTGTTATGGTATATAATACTACCTACCCCCAGAACACAATACAGTGCCCTGTGCCTGAGCTGTCAACAAGTCCATGCAATGTCACATGGAGAATGAGTAACGTGCCTTTTCTTATGCAAATAGCGACTCTGTCAGAAAGCTTCAGGCAGCAATGACTTAGGAACTTCTGCAGCAGAATGTACGTGTTGACAGATTATGCTTTCTGCTGCTACAAGCTTTGTCATTTTTTTAACCACACAACTTTTAATAGCAGTAAAACAAGTTATGAATCGCTTATCATGCGTGCCATTTATAGGAATCTGCTCAGTCTAGAAAAAATACTTTAATTCTTCACACTTCCTAGCTGCCTGAGACAGCAAACTGGAACACTTTTTATGACCAAAATTAGAGGCACTACATACACTGCACGCTGTGGTCTGAATTGTCAAAAATGTTTAGGTCAGTATATACACTGGCATTTAACTTTTCTTTCACTGGAGCTATAGACCTAAGTTCAAACCATGAAAAATGGCCTCAGACTATTACTGCTCTTGTGAAAAACTGCAGTAAGCATTGTACATTCAGGCAGGAAGCCTTCTCCTAATCCATTCGACTACCAGAGTATGCATCACTGCCTTATCAAAATTCCTCCTCAGGACCACTAAATTGGGGATGTGCAAATTCCTGCATACCACAAATGGCCAAAGTCAAGTCAATTCAAGCTGAAAATCAAAGACCAAATCAGAAACATAAGTAAACAGCTGGTTGGATCACACCAGATTTTAACATGCATGTGTGTGATCCAACCAATCTGGTATTCTTGATGGTCTTGGGGATGTGAATGTGCATGACTGACATACACCTAAGCAAGCACCTCCAACAACTGGTTTGATGCCAAAAGTTATTTAACCAGTTGACATCCGCGGTGTTAAACCCCCTTCCCATCCAGGCCATTTTTCAGTATTCAGCGCTGCGGTACTTTGACTGACATTTATTCCGTCATGCAGCGCTGTACTGAAATGAATTTTATACCCTTTTTTGGGGACAGATAGAGAACAATGGCAATGACCGATAGTAGTCCATAGATATGAAGAATCAGCTTTATCAGTATGACAGCAAGGGCTGCCAGCTCTTCTCCTATTTGTTGGCACATACTGTATGTGATTAACAGGTTGTATAGGTAACTTAATTCAAGGTGTTGACTTAATTCAACTGATTAGACAAGATTTCCTAGCTGAGTTATTCAATTGATTTAACCCTGAAACCCCTTTTTCAAATACAATTGTTTGAAAAAGTGTTGGACCCTTTCCTGATCTTTCATTGTTTTGCACGTTTGTCACACTTTAATGTTTCAGATCATCAAACAAATGTAAATATTAGTCAAAGATAACACAAGTAAACACAGCATGCAGTTTTTAAAGGAAGGTTTTTATTACTAGTAAGGGAAAACAAAATCCAAACTTACATAGCCCTGTATGAAAAAGTGTTTGCCCCCCTGTTGATTTACTTTTTGAGCACCGCAGTGCACAGATGTAAATCAACTGTCTGTTGTAGTGTGCTACCATGAAAAAAACAGTATAGGTCCATTTTTTTGTGTACTGTTTTTAAGTGTTTTCTATGTTATTGTGCAGCCCTTTGGACATGTCAGGGGTTTCTGCATGTTGAGGTCCTCTATATCCTTGGTTCTCAACTGGTGGGTCGTGACCCAAAAGTGGGTCGCGACCCTGTGTTCAGTGGGTCCCCGTGTGCCTTCCACTTTTCCATGTGAGAGGCTCCTGCGCCAAGCAGCCATTCAAAATATGCTGTCCGGCGCCGAGTGTCAGCTTGAGGTAGGGTGGGCTCCATCCATATATGCATTGCTTACAGCTCCCTCGTATGTCCTGTAGAGGTGCCTGGACCAGTGTGATGTAACATACTGGCTTTCAACACCTCTACAGGGTGTGCAAGGAAGCTGTACAAGCAATGCACATATGGATGGAGCTGCATCACAGTACAGCAGCCCACACCAGACCCCAGGCTAAGGATCCATCCAGTTCTCATAAGGTAGGGAGACTCTATTTTTTTCTCTTTGGAGTGTGTATGTGTGTGTGTGAGATTGTGTCTGTGGTTGTGTGTTTTTGAGGGCCAATTCAAACTAGTACAGTGCGTTAATCACACAGTCCCATGCGATTAACGCACTGTTCTTTGCAATCGCACCTACCACGCATTTTGGTGTGAGAAGTGCATTGCATTGCCATTCATTTGGCACCCGAAAATGCACCTCTCACCCACAGTTCTATTGCCCGGATCGAAATGCGCAGTATCACAATGCCGTGCATTCCATTGCAGTGCAACTTGGGTCACGACTTAATGACCTAGGACAAATGTGGGTCCTGAGGTTACACGGGTTGAGAACCACTGCTCTATATTCATGAAGCTGAACACACCACTGCACTAGACTGCAGTAAGTGAGGAAGTGTCATTCACACTTTACTCTGAGATTCACCTCAAACTCATTGCCTAATTTAGGTATATGGTAAAAGCTGTTTGCTAACTTTGATTACCTGGCTACCGGACTGGGTTGGGTTTGTTCTATCTGCCTTCTGACCTTCAGCTTACCTGACCACGCATCCTGTCTTCTGATTCTGTTACCCTGATCTGATATTACCTACCGTTGCCCCAGAAGATGGACTAGTATCCTTCATGCCTGCGCGTATTTGCTGCTGCTAACTTTTGGCAAGCCTCTACCAGCACTGCACTTAAACCAGTCAAGCTTGTATCAGCAATTACAAGTGGAGCTTCTACCTGGAGATCATTAGCATCATACAGTGGTGCGGTGAACTTGCATCTCTCTCTCCCTGGTGGCACGGCAGATTCAATTTTGTTTTAATAAAAAGAGGAAGGTTTAGAACCTGTCAGATTTGACTGCTGCTTGTGTGGTCATTAAGGAGATATGCTTTCACTTCCTGTCCAGGAGATGAGTGTCAGGCAGAAAAGAAACCAGACAAAAACCATTTCCTCACCTGTAACCAGCATTTAAAACGTGACAGAAGTTCACAAAACACCAAAAAGGTTTTGGCTGCCATTGGGCTTTTAAGTTGAAGTTTGGTGATTTATCACTTGTGTAATGATCTCTATATTGTTTACTTTAGTGTTTTCTTCCTTAATGCTTCAGGATTCTTCTCTAAAGAGCCATATGGTTAATGTCAGGCAGGCATTTCGAACGCTGTCTCTGACATATAACACTGTTACATATTTCAGTGATAATATGTATTAAGTCACATCTCTTAGTAGTAAAATGCTTCTGTAGTGTTGTGAAACCTTCTTTTTTTGGTGGAGATATAAAAATCTGGCAAAAAAAGGGTTGGTCTGATATCAGCCTTCAATGGAGGCAAAGTACATTTACATACTAAGGGACACGTTAGCACATTACCTAAAGTAATCAACTGACAAATGGCTTTCATTTATTACATCAGAATCATCGGCAATGTATTAATAAAAGTCATCTGTCAACCGCCTACAAATTGTGGGTTGTCGGAAGACTCAGCTCTGTTTAAGTGATTTTAGCAGCAGCACATGGTGAAAAGCATGTCTTTTTCAAAATGCTCACTGCACGGTCGCTTAAAAGTGAAGCTATTACACAGCCAATTTGCAATTCAATGGAGGCATTTTGAGAATGCAATTACAATTGTAATTAAATGCAAAAACACAGAATAATATTGGATATTGTGGTTGAATTTTATAAAGTGTTTACCCGTTAGCTTGGCATCTGGTGGAAGATCTAGTTTAAGTGAGGGATGAAGGTGACCTGGGCTAGACACTTGCTCATCCGCAGCTTTTGTTTCAGTTGCCATGACGACAGTGCCAGCATGATGCAAAGTGAATAATTCAGGATCTAGAAGTCTATAGCTGCACAAACACAGAAAAACACATGTAAGGAACCAAAACAAATGTTAATTCCGAGCAATTAATTCAGTCACAACAACTTAAAAACAGACACTTTTCCACTTAACTAACAACTTAAAACCAGGCAGCAGGTAGAATTGAACTGGGCTACGAAAAAATCAGTTATTTTAAAGCAACATTCTAAAAATACTCATTGCTTACCCTAAATGTTTAATACAATCTTTGGAGACACTTTCAGAATCTGGAAGCTTTAGCATGGAAGCAGGCTGCTCTGTCTCAGTCTAGCTGCAGTTGTTACAGCATGACATTGGCATTGTTTTAGAATCAGTGTTATTTTGGGCATGCTTTTCGATTTCCTGCTTGCTAAAACAGCCTTCCCCTGTGTGTCCATGCATTGGGTTTCCCTTGCAAGAGAAGTAACAAGCAAATGCAGACTAAATTCTCAGATGGAATGATTTTCCCTGCTAGGCTGTGATATTTACTTTCTTCTGTTCTATCATCTTCAAAAGTAACATGACTGAACAACTGAAGTTTGAAATGTAAAATATTTTGTGTAAATTATAGTGAATATATTATATATATATATATACACAGTCACACAATGGCCAAGGTAAATGGGTTTATGAGAAAATTTGGCTCCAATAGAAGTCCGGTATCTGAACTGAAAATCCAGCTGTATAAAGGCTGCATCTGGCAGTTTATGAGGGCATAATATATCTGCTTCCATTGTCCCCTGCGCAATTCAGAGGCCCTGGCTCTGGTGCCAAATGGCCAGATCTTTCAGGATTGGAAATAAACCTTATGGCAAACAGAGTTAAAAATCCAGCTGCTGTGCTCTGTGTTTCTCTTGTTTGTTTTTTGCTGTAAAGTCAAACCACTCCTGAAGCCGACTTTAACATAAAAAGGACAGTCTTTATTCACTCAAAAGGTGAACAAGCCAAGAACTTCACAAAATAATTCAACTTTCTGCAGCATAAATTAAGCACAACAGTTCATTGGACTCTCATCAAGACAAGACAACTCTCCCTGAGCTCTGGGCTGGCTTCCCAAGGAGGCTGCTCTCAGCCACCTGATCAGCCCAAGCTGGTCATTGGTAACACCTGGCCCCAGGACTGGAGATCCCATCCCACTATAGTCCGGAAAAACATGGAAAAACAAAACTCAGCTAAGACCCTGGTCTATTTCCATCTGTCCGCTCTCTCTAACCTATAACGCAAAAAAATAATCATCCTGCTTACACCGATTTAACAAAGGCTCCGGCTCTGGTCTCCGAGGTACATCTGAGAGTTAGCAGTGGGGCAGGCAGTGCTACTGACTGGATGCCTACACCTGAGCAGTCAAATCGATGGATCTTCCACTGCATAGATCCCATACTATGCTACACTAGAATGCTAGAACCATAGCCAGAGAAGCGTTTTTGCTGAATGGGTTGAGATAGAGGAGGATAAAATATGGTTTAGGGTCCACTTTAAAAACAAAGAATGTTATTAAATTAAATACCACACCTTAAAACATAGAACTACCTCCATTATCAATAAAAAAAAACAGCATATATAATTTGGAAATGCTAGGTTTTTTAATATAGATTCCAATCTTATAAAGACCTGCTTGGAGCTCATCTTGAACTATAAAGTGGTCCAAAGAGCCCCTTATAAGTCCAGTGTAGGAGAAGAAAACTATTTATCATTTAATTGAAAGAAGTAAAGGAAAGAATTGTTTAAACCAAAAAAAAAACACAGCAGTTTAGAAACTTCCATGTCTTTTTGGATCACTTTTTTTTCACAAAAAAAAAATCAAATAAGAATTTCATGGCTGAAAACCATAGTGTGGTGAAGCAAACTTTTGCCAAAGTCTGTTAAAATGAAATTGCTTTCTTTCACTGAAGCTTGATGCCTCATAGTCAGACATTTTTTGATACATTTTATTATTGTTCTAACCCATGTAAAAGTTCAAACTGAAATAAATACACTAGATTTGGTCCCACCTGCTTCAACTTGTCCAGATACAACCCTTTTATATAATGTATTTATTTTTTTAAACCAAAAGAGGTTGCCATTTTCCTATAACCAAAGTACATGGTCCCTATTAGAATAAATGATGGTGTTTCTAATAACAATGGCCCCCCCATTAAAACAAAATTGATAATGAGACTCGATTTAAAGCCAAACTCCAGAAAAAATTATAATGTACATGCCGCACTGGGTGTGTCAAATATCATTAAAAAGATGTATGATATGTGTGGAGGGCTGCTACAAAGCATAAAAATCTTATGTTTACGGTGTAAAATGAAACATGGTCACATCATCAAACCTCCAACACCAACCTGCCTCCCCACTTACCTAAATTGCGGTGTTCTCCCTGTGGACTGCTGTCACTCTTTGAATTTGGCATGGCTGTGTGTGGTTCTGCCCAGACAGCCACATCATCCATTCACAGGATCTGTGAATGGAGAGACTACAAATCCCATCTGGCACCATGGCAGAGGGACTCTTAGTTCTCACTGGAGTCCCTCCATACTTCTTCCTACTGTTCCTTAACTGAAAGTCGGTTGCACCAGCAATCCAATGATAATGGTTCCCATGCTTTGCAGGCTCCCATGCAAAAAAATTATATTAATGTGTATACATGTATTGAACTATGTCTTTACATTACAAAACAGGTTATGTAGGAAATATATATATATATAAATGGGTAAGCCGTAAAAATGCAGTATTGCAGTGTGCAATGATACCTTTTTTATTGGACTAACAAAATATATATTTTTGTCTTTTTTGACATCATATATATATATATATTACAAAAGTGTTTTCCTTTAAGTCACATTGCAATGTTCTATGACAGTAAAGCATGAAAACTTCTAAGGGTAGAACACTTTAATAGCCACTGTATATGCACCAGTGTGGCTCTTGCACAGGTACATCTTCCATCCAGTCCATAGTTTCTCAACCTTTTTTTACCCTGTAAAAGTATGCAAATTCTCGAGGCACCTCAGTCTAAAATGCAAAAACTGTAAATGTAAAAAACGGCATGTGGTACCTCAAAAATCCATACCCAACCCTTACACAAGATATGGGTCTGGTGTGGATAGGAGACCCCAAGCAAAAACAGAAAAAGTGGGATTCCCCCTTTACGTCAGAGTCCTCCTTCACATCAGGAGACTTGTTCACATAAGGCTGACTGGTGAGTGTACTGGGAGACTTTTTGCTGTTGTATTGTTTAAAGCCCTTCCATGTGCACCTTGCTCTAAAGCTGGTTATGAGTTGATGAGTGCATTTGCCATTCGTTTTGCTTGTTTAATTGGGTGCAGTGACACACTGGGGGTCTCAGCTGCTGTTGTGATGTGAAGGGTCCCTGGTGTGTCCCTGTGCCTTTAAGGAGGTTGGGCTGCCTCCTGGCGAACCTGCACCCAATTGATCTTTTGCTACATATGCTCCAAGATGGAGACTCTCATAGGTTAGAGTTAGGACCGCACTATACAGAGGGGTCTTGACGAGGCAATGCAGCTTTCACGTATTCGGCAGAATACGTGTATCTAAAACCTCTGATTTAACCTTAGCGGTTAGACAGGTTTTTTTTGCAGGCTGGCTGGTGGGTGTGCTTCCATGTGCACCTTGCTTTAAAGCCGGTTATGAGTTGAGTGCATTTGTCATTCGTTTTGCTTGTTCACATGAGAGGCATAACTTTGTGTGAACATTTTGAGGCACCCCTTAAGAAGCCAGAAGGCACCCCAGGATGCCATGGCACCCTGGCTGACAAAAGGCCAATCCAGGCCATTTAAAATCTTATCCCATATCTAGCTGTGAAAGTGAGGGAGAGCCAACAAAAAAAAGACCTTTGTGTGTGTACTTTGAGGACATACTTCACATCTATGGTACGATGAAGGTTTATCAATTTAAGTTATGTTGCCTTTTTTTTTTTTTTTTTTTAATATCAGCCTTTGTGAATAATCAACATATCCCTCTTTTAGAGCTTTCTCATTTACATTATGACAAACACCTTGGGGAGAATGCTCTTGTCAAGTGAAACCTTCTCTGGCTTTTTTTGATTTCTCATAAAAAGTAGATCAATAGCTAGAGCTCTCGTAACAAATGTAATAGCAACTAGAAAAATTTCAATCTGACCAAAGTAATTGGTTTAAAAGCGGGTTGTGAAGATTCATACAGAGATCCCCGGAGAGATGGGGAAAACAAGAAGGCCATTTTCTAATAAATGTCCTAATAATAGTGGTTAAACCTGTGTGCAAATCTGCTTTCTGTGGGTTGCATTTATTGGATGTGTCAGACAAAATAGTGTATTTTTTAACTGCATGTGGCATTGAGAGAAAAAACACACAGAAGTTATGTTCTACAGGCTAAAACCTAAAATAAAATCTGTAAAATGAAAGTATTACGTTATGCTGCAGCACTGTATAGTTGGATTTTGATAATTGTATCTGGCATGTAAAAACTTTCCCTTGTCATGCAAATAATCAGCAATGCATTTGTGAATAGTTACACTAATGAATAGTTGCAATTGGGAATAGTTCCAATATTGGTCCTCAAACCAAGTTATTGACAGGGCTATTCACTAAAGGGTGAATAGTTTGGAGAAGGCAGGAGAAGTCCTGCCAATCTAGGCCAAAATAGCTGATTTGGAAAAATTCTCCAATTCAGCTCACTTTCCAGTTCAGCTATGTTATCCTATCCTCACTTCTCCTGCCTTCTCCAAACTCTTCACTCTTTTGTGAATAACCCTGTAAATGTCTCTAAAGCGTCCATAAAACCATGAACAAAAATGCATCATACCAGGATTATCATTGATCAACAGCAGGCTTCAGAACAACAAGGTAGCAGTAGACAAAGTAAATTTAGGTACTGGCAGGTGCGTAGCAGAACAAAGTGCATGAGAACACTCAAAGCTGTCAAGTGTACAAGAACTGTGTCAGGGAGAGCTTGCCGTTGGATACAAGAAACAAAGGGCTTACAACTTTAGGATGGACTGGTCCTTTAGATAATGTT